ATCACTACCAACAGCTAAAGGAGACCACCAAACCACACCCATAGCCAGTAGGCAAGAGAGACCACCAAACCGAAAAAAACATGCATTTTCGTTACCAACAATTATGTAAATCCACATCTATCAAACATATCACTAAATTTTTTAGTGTTACACAAAATGTGTAAAGAAATTTACTTGCTATATATATATATATATATATATAAAATTTCAACAATTATGTAAATCCACATCCATCAAACATATGACTAAATTTTTTAGTGTTACACAAAATGTGTAGAGAAATTTACTTGCTATATATATATACGTGTTATTGAAAAATTTGCATGCATGTAATTGGTGTTGGAAATTGAAATTTACTTGCTATTTAGTGTTACAGCATATTGAACATGCGAGAATAATACTAAGGCTTGCACACATTTCCACAACCAAAATAAAAATCGAAACCGCACCCACATCACAGATGAAAACTGAGAAGCCTCAAGGCATAACCACTATGGTGAAACGAGAAGCGCCAAAACACCACCATAGAAAACAACCAAGAAGCCACGATGCACAACTAATGTGTTAAAATAAGAAGCAACAAATAACCAACCAGAGGAAAATTGAGAAGCCCCAATTATACAATCACATAGGTAAACAGAGAAGCAAACCAATACTTCATAGTTGAAACGACAAGCACCGAACCACCAAAATATGGGAAAGTAGAGAAGCCCAAATGCAAATCACATATGTAAAATAAAAGGTAACAAAACACCACCACAAAGGACCACCAGAAACCCCAATGTTAAAACCACTTCACTGTTTCAGTGACAAGCACCAAACCACCACCAGAGAAGAAAATTAAGATGTCGCAATTACACATTTACATAAGTAAAATGAAAAGAACATTGCCACTGAGGACAATTGGGGAAGCTCCAAGGCACAACCACTTCAAGTTCAAACTACAAGCACCAAATCACCACCACCACCATAGAATAGGAAGATCAAATAGATAGAATGGAAAGCAACAAAGAACCACCACAAATGACAACATGGAACCCCCATCGACTCCGCCACTAACAATTTCAAATGACAAGCACCAAGCCACCAACGGAGAGGACAACCGAGAAGCTCCATATGCAAATCACATAGAAAAAATGAAAAGCAACATACCACCACAGAGGACCACTAGGAAGCCCAATCGGCACCACCACTACAAGTACAAATGACAAGCACCAGACCACCAATTGAGAGGAAAACCAATAAGCAAGATAGGCAAAACACTTAGGTGAATTGGAAAGTAACAAAACACCAACACAAAGAACAACTAAGAAAAAAGGTGAGGATTAGTACATACAGAGACAGGCGGTGGAAACCAAGACGAACAGAGGGGAGAAGAGAAGAGGACTGCATATAGTGAAGCTCAAATGGAGGGAGAAGGGGGTAAGGGTATTATCGGGGATAAAGAATGGGATTTACTAAATTGTAGAGGGGCAGGATAGTCTTTTCTCACTCGAATTGCGATTAGAACTGCAAAACGGGGCCAGGAGCTTGTGTTTGCCTTTTCACCATTCCGAAAATAGATTGTGGAAAAAGGCAGGTGAAACGTGAGTTCCCAAACAATATTCCATTGCTTTTCAAATCAGGAGGCAGAAAAATGGCCCTCCCAAACGCACCCAAATGTGGAGCGGTGGAGAGGTGTAGCCCATATTTTCTTGTCTTATTTGCTTTTACTTGGAGCTTTTTTTCTAAACGAGCAGCAGCTTAGCTATTTCTTTTGGTCTGAATTTTAATTTGAACCATTTACAAGCCACTTGTTTCAAATACATTTGAGCTATGCTCAATTGTTTTAGCTTGACTTGCATATTAGTTGGGTTTAACTGTGAGGTTTGAATTGTAGTGGGTTTGATTTTATGTATGAACATATGTTCGACTAATTCCAAGTTTATATTGAAGTTCGGAATTAATATATTTTTTATTCTTTCTAGGTTAATCTTTGCCTTAAATTTATCTTTAGCTTTAGTTGTTTTAGTTTTAGGGTTTAGCCAATTTATGTTTTATTATATTGAGTTTTAATTTTAGCTTGTTTTAAGGTTATATTAAGTTTTAGATTTAGTTTGAATTGGTTTAGATCAGATTTATGTTTTGTATTAGTTATATGAAATTGGTTTTGTAGGCAGGTTTAATTTTAGGCTTTGTTGGTGTTTTGCTTATTTTGGTTAGTTGTTTTTAAGTTATATTTAGTCTTGAGTTTATTCATTTACGTTTGTATTTAAGTTCTAAATTCAGTTTTATTAAAAACTTGTTTAAATTTTGATTGATTTATTATCTACTTGATTAATTTTAATTTTTTTTTTTATTATTTTGGTCTTACTTGGTTAAGTATTGGATTTTAGTTTGACCTTTTGCTTTAATTCAAAAAGAAATTAGTTAAATTTAAATTACACTGCTCATATAATATTCCATAATTCTGTAATTCTAAAATTTCTATCATAATATTCCAATAACTTATGATGGTAACCATTAAAACTAAACGAAGGACCGGCTGAACTGTTAATTCAGAGCAAAAGCAATACGGTACAAACCACAGCATATTATCACCTCCCAAAGAGCTCTTATGGGTGGTGGGCAGCCCAGGACTTAAATACTGCTTTTCGGCCCTACACCTAACTGATGTGGGACTATTTATCCGTGACAATATGCTGCAAAAATGTAGACTGAATGGAAAATTTGCTACGAATGATATTTATAGGAATGCTCTGACTATTTATAGGATTGGTTGCAGCTTGTATACTCTTTTAAGAGAAACATGTGGTATCAAGTGACAATTCATAAAGGACTGTCTCTCCCCAATGCTGATAAGTATGTTAAGATACTACACGGCTGCTTGAAAAAATATCTTAATTAAAAGCAGTTGCCCCAAGCTTTGCATAAAAATATTGATATACAACTTGATCAATAGCTATTAAAATGCTCTTCTTTTTCATGGGCATGCAAAAGTTTAAATGAACGTTCATCAGTAAGCATGCCCTCCAACTTGGCAATAGTTTTGCTTTTTTTCTTTTTTATATATTAGGATGCTGAAATTCAAGTTCAGCATTGACTTGACTTACCTTCTAGACTTCATAATGGGACAATTGCCTGTCATACTTTTGGTGTTCATTGGACCAATGAATTCAGCTTTGAAGTCTGCTCATTTCATGATGTTAGTTATTTCTACTATAATTAAGGTGTTTTGGTGGTGTGTAAATATAGTTGTTCTTTCTATGTAAAATCAATGAGAATAGTTCTCTTTCAGTGTTGGGTGAGGGAATCAAGGCGGAAGAGGGAGCCTTAATTTTCTGTTCTTGTTCCGTGAACGGTTCAGAAGATTGAAATCAATCTTGTTGTGTCTTGATATGGCTGGAGAAATGTGTCGAAAATCTGAAATGTTTTTGTGTTAGAAAATATTTTTTTTTCTCGCCTATTATTGTCAAACTTGATTGGAAAGTAAGCATGGTGATAATTTCGAAATAAATTTAAAATATATATATAACTAAGCAGGGTATTTTATTTACTTATATATTAGTGTTAATGTAACCCGTTGTTATGAGGATGATGTTTAGGAGGGAGGATGCCAAGCTGCTCTTCTTCTACTTCTTTATCCCTAGTTATAAACTGGAATGATTAATCAATTTTTACCTTTATTTTCAATATTGTTGATTTTTAGTTTTTCTCTTCATCAAATGTTTCTGATGGCATTGCATCTGTTTTGTTTAATATTTTTGACATGGACTTGACAAAATGAACAAAATGGAGCATATAATACAAGTAATGATGGCAATGTTCTGTACTCTTTTATTTTTGCTTTCGGAGGAATGGATGCTCTTAGAGAAGAGCAAAAAAGATAAATGCAAGTTAAACCAGGTGTATAGTCTTTTTCTTTTTTGGCCTTCTTATTTAACTACTATTATTATATATATATTTTATTATCAAATGAATTGTGATTCATTTTATTTCAAGCCTCGTTTGGCAACACTTCACTGTTGAGAAGAGTTCTTTTAAAAACTGCATTCAATTCTGCTGCACCCCATTTCTGATTCAAAACGGAAAGAAATGCCATCGAAATGCCGTGGGGATGTGAAAATCTTTCCGAAAAATTCAAATGCGAGATGGGAAGAGAGATGAGAGATCTTCCTCTTTGTGAGAAGAATGAGAGAAAGGTGAAGCTGGTGAAGTAAAATCATGACAAAATTAGAGGGATTTCCTATGGCATGGGGGTGAAATTACACGGTAGATAAGAGTAAGATAAGAAACTTTAAAAGAAAGAGAGTGAGAGAACAAAGGAATATGAAAATCTTGATTTTAAATTCAATCCAGAGTTGGACTATTTAAAATATGGGAGATTTACATGCCTCCTACCGAATTCCTATGTATTAACATATCCGCAACCTAAACATCATTTTTTACGCCCAGACCACCCAACCTATGCTCTCTATGTAAAAATTGAAGTTTGGGAAGTTGATATGTTAATACATAGGAATTGGGGATAGGTATGTAAAGACCCCAAAATATGGGAGAACAAAGGAAACTTGTGTTTGATGCCTAACACATAATGTACGAGTTAAAAAGAAAATCTGAATAAACACTGAAAATTTTATAATATAAATCTTTACAAAATAAACTTAAAACTATATTCAGAATTAAAATAAAAATACTCACGTAATCAAAAGAAATCTAAAAAACTATTGAACATGCGAGAATAATACTAAGGCTTGCACAGTGGTGCAATATGGATCTTGGTGCAATGATTGGGTTGCTGTATTTATATGCTGAGTATGAATAAAAAATAAATAAATAAATAACAGTCAACCTAATCTACAAGAGCAAGGCTTGCAACAAATAATTGCAATCCGCATATTGTTCAAAAAAAAAAAAACTGTCAAATAATAGTGATTAGTGGCCTTCATTTTGATAAGGAGATGATGAATTTGAGCCACAAAAATACAATCCATGCAATGAAAGAATAAGGTTTCAATAATTAGTGCATAGTTCCTAAACAGAGAGGCTACCAAACCACGGACACCAAATTCACAGAGCACTCCTGGGCAGCATCGGGCCCCAAAATATCAATTTACAAAAAAGATATGGATACATCCACTCAAACCCAGGAAAGTTAGCCATGATGCAACAGGTTTTCAATCAAATTTGATATCCTAAATGAATGATAAACTTGGATGTATCAGAAATATGCAAGCTAACTTTGATTCCATCGCTCCAACAAATAACAAAGATGCTATGTCCAAAACAATAGGCTTCTTTTGTTACTTCTTTTTTTCTTTTAATTAGGGCAATTCAAACAAAACAAAAAAGCATTCTTAATTACAATGCAAGAAGTTGCCTCTGAGCAAGACCATTGCACCTATTCATCAGAAGAAGATACTTCAGACTTAGATTGCTCATCTTGAAGAGATTCCAGATTCATCAATTTCGCTTGGATCTCAGAAATCTCCTTCTTGAGTGCTTTAATTTGCATTTCCAGCTGTGAATCTTCGCTAATCAATCCTATAAATTCTCCTCTTTTTTGTGTTCTGAATAATGAAGGGACTGTAGTTTCTCCAAACTCTAAAGCCGGGTTGAGTGCAAAATCATCAGCTTCCTTCCCATCAATGTCACCCAGAGTTTCCCTGTGCACATCTCCAGCTAAATCAAAAGCAAAATCTTTTAAATACCGTCTTTTCTTCTCTGTTTTACTCTTCCTAGAAGCTTTGGCATCTTGTTTTAGCTTCTTCCAACCCTTCACAGATAGCTTCAGTTTACTATGGGTTTCCCCCTCAGCTGTGGCTTCTAAAGGCTTTAAGCAACTTAAAGCTTTTCTTTTGCAAACCTTTTCACTCGCATTATGAACTAATGCAAAATCATCCTTATTTTGCAACTCCACCTCCTTGGTCAGAAATTCAATATTCTGACTTGACTTTTCTGAAATTTCCTTCTCTGATTTCTTTGCAGCCTTCATAGGCACACATGGACCTGCGACAACTCTAACCACATTAGAACAGTTCACCCTGTGGTTTTTCCACCAGACTGAATACCGTGCAGTGACATCTGACTCGTAAAGCCGAGGTGGGGCAAAGAACTTCAACATTTTGGCAGTATCAAAACTGTCCCAGGCTGCCTCCCATGATGAGTTGGATCTGGTTATAGCATCTGGTATATCTTGATCCAACCCAAACTGCATGGCCACCCAATGAGGAAGATATTGCTCAATACAATCTAGCCCAACCAGTTCACATGGCCTCAAGCACCTCGCAAAGGACCCACACTCATCATCAGCACAAGCACTACTGCAAACCCATTCACCCATTTCCTTGTAGAAAGAAGGCATGCGCCAACTGTCCAAACTAATTGCATAAGGTCGCCACTGGAAGCTGTCTGGTAATACAAGAACTGATATTACAAATGATAGCTCCAGCTTTTTAGTAGCATCATGCCACCTTGCCACCCGTGGTTCACCAGAATTTACATAATTCAGCACCTCTGGCCTCAGAGCAACAAATCTCTCCCATAACCACATCTGTAATATACTAAAAGGTGCCCATAAAACCAACTGTGCTGCTTCCTCCCCACCACCATTTCGGTGAAGATAATCTTTCAATATGCGCAAGTCCCGGTAAAGACTAGCAAGGACTGCAGTGGCAATTGAGATCCTAACACCTCGAGAGAGACGGACTGCAATCGGTATCACATACTGCCCCACAATTCCGTCGGGATGTCTAGGAAAAACGTACCTTGAAAGCCACAATGAAAGGAAACCAATGTGCTCCAGTTCATCGCCCTCCCTTTCCATGAACTGCCTCGTCCACAACGTCTGGTCTGCCTTCCGCCATTTTGTTTTGTTGAACTTCCTGTGCTCAACAATCATAGCTTTCTCCAGTTCTTGCAGATCTCCCTCGAATGGTTCTCTTTTCTTCAAGGGTTCTCCCATAACAGGAAAACCTCCGAGAATCATCACATCCTCCAGAGTTATGGTGGCCTCCGACCACGGTAAGAGGAATGTGTTGGTCGCCTCACACCAGAAGGCCGCTGCACCCAAAATGGAAGATGGTTCTCGCCTAATTTTGTAGGTTGAAGACTTGATGGCGTTAAAGATGCCAGCCTTCTTCCACAAATCTTCATAAATTGGCTGCAATTTCTCAACCCACTTCCCCCATTGGCGCTGCGGGCAAGCCCAACCTTTGAAGTGAACCGTCGAAGTCGCACAAGGGGCAAGAGTGATTGTGCACTGAGGAGGAGACGATAGAGATTCTTGGGTTTCATGAGCGTTGGTTGAAATAGGATTAAGAAAGTACCCACTCCTCTTATAGGGCTCGGATGAGCCGGCATAGGCCACCATTTCCGCTTCTCTTTCTTCCACAAAGCAGAGATCCTCCTTGTCATCTCCCATCCTTGAACGCAGAGCAGTAGCTTTTGGTTGCATGGAAAAGAACAGAGGCTGAGAGGGGGCGCGACCGACTTCACAGAACCCAGAATTAGGGTTTCCAAAAGGGTTTTTGCTGATGGTTAGGAGACTGCGGATGGAAAACACGGAGATGGTTGCCTTTCTTTGCCACCGTGGAAAAGGTTTTGCATTCCACCAGAATGATACCCATTTCTGAACCTAATTATTTTGATCATACAAAAATCGGGGAGATGTACTGCGACGGGTCGGTGTATTCCAATCTGGTTGCCAAATTTTTTTTATTTTTTAATTTGAATGTAAGAAAATAAATTTAATAAAGGATAAATCATAAATTAATTTTATATTTCAATTTTAAATTTTTTATATTTTAATTTTAAATTCTTATATGCTTTTAATCCTAATAACAAAATCATGATCATCTCAATAATATTAGTAATATATAGTTTAGTAAAATAACTGTTTTATGCATATGTGATTTAAATAACAAAAAAATAATATTATCGATGTATTATCATCAAGAAATTCAAAAAAGAATAAAAAAACCTAATTAATTATTTAATTAGATTAAATTAAATTAAAAAATGAATTTTTATCGTAAGGCATGTATTTCAATGAGTTTTGAACATCAACCATTTTAGGCGCAAGATCATTCGAGCTTCAATCGTAACAAATTTATACTAATTGAGTATTACTATTAAAACGACGCAAGTCTCATTACACCAAAAGTAATTTAATAGAAATTCAATAAAGCTCAAATTATCATTTAAAGTGCAATTGAATACTTTAGAATATTAATTAAATGACAAAATGAAATTCAAATATGGAAGCCTTTTAGTCAAATCAAGCGGATCAATGAGTGAAATCCAAAACCCAATATTATCTAATTTTGAGATCATTGGGGCACCAAAAGTTTAAAAAATGAATCATGCATAAGTGAGCCAATGTGGAACGTATGATTGAGTGTTATGAGATTATAACTAAATTTATCAAAATGTTTCTCTAAGAAATTATAAATAGGTCAACATCCTTCTATTGAATGGGGAGGAGAATCAGAGAGTGAATTGACTACTAAGCTTAACCCTTGCAGCCTCGACGGTTGTCTCTAGTCACAAAAGATTGAGATCAACTACTAGAGCTTTTGCTGACCACCAAAAGTCATCATTAATTACTATAAGTCATCGTCAACAACCTGAGATTATCACTAGCTACTAGAGATCCATGCCAGCCATTAGCCATTGTCAACCATTAGCAGTAATTATTGTAATCGAATATAAATTTATAGCCAACTATGGTTGTTATAGTCACCAACTATGGATATTATAGCCTCCAACTATGGCTTTTGTGGTCAACTACGACCAATGATAACAATCAACTATAGTTATTGTAGTCTTAACTACCCCTAAGTTATATTTTTTTGGGGTTATTGTAAGGTAATTCTGTTTTCAACATAATTTTATAATATCAGCTTCCCTAATTCGGGAGAAGATTGGATCTATGTACTTGAAATTTCACTAAGTTAGACGACATAGTTTATTTTCTTCTACATAAATATCTAATTATCTTACTTTTTTAATTGTGTATTTCCTGGAAAATTATACTAAACTAAAGCTTAAGATTTTTCTATGGTTAGGAATTTTCTAGTACGTAATAGTTTGGCACTATATGTGAGAACCTCATGTGTATTAAACTTCACAAGCATCTTGTGATCACCAACATGTGTATTACTTATAATAACAGATACCATATTCCAACAAATAGTCTATGAACCTAAGACACCCAAAATAGGCATAAGCTTAATTGCAAAAGACACATCAAATCACATATTTGCTTGTAAATCTGTTATCCTTAACTCCAAAATAGGCATAAGCTTGATTGCAAAAGACACATCAAATCACATATTTGCTTGTTTTCTCTCATATAGTCATACCCTAATGAAAAAGGCATATTAGGTATGTCTTTAGAAAACTATGTACAAGGCCCCTTTACCTTAAAGCCAAATTTATCCATCAACCAAGACAAGTTATCCACCTCTAATCTTACTCATCAATCCCATTTAACTTATTTGCCACTTTCAAGCTACCACTACTACTAAAATCTCGAAAGATTGTTCAAATTAATGTCCCACACACTGTTACAGTATGGCAGTCCTTTTTCATCTTCAGATCATCATTTTTAAGGAATGGAATATTTAACTGAAGGTTAACTTCAATTATAAGAATAAATTCTTAAGATGGTTGCAATCATCTCTCCCCTCTATTATTTGGCATTACATCAGAAAATTTAGAATTTTGTGGCAAGATTAACAAAATCCTCAAAGAGATGTCAATATAGTCAAACAAATCTCTCAATTTAAAGTTCTTCCATGATTCTAAGGCAGTAATCATGGCTTTATGCTAAAAAGTCTCAATTGATCTCCAATATTTACATACAGCCCCTAGCCAAACCTTTATTTCCTAAATGAGGACATAAAAATAACCTCAAAAAGACAATAACAATCTAAATGCAACAATTTTACCTTTAATTTGGCATCCATGTGACATTCATAGTTTCTTAATCAAGGTACAGTTGATCCCAAAGAAATTCAATTTGGCCTCTTGCATAGAAGTTAATGTCATCAATTGACACTCCAACAAATAATCTCGAATATGGCAAACATCCTTGATAGATTTTTTTCTTACATCTTTCTTATAGGCTAATGTTATTGACAAATATTTTGACAAATAACTTTGGGCAGGTCTAACATTGTTAATAGATTTTTTCAACCTCCTTCATGAAGTTTAACATCGTCGTGCCTACAAACAATCTTAAATAAGTTAAATATATTTGGTGATTTTTTTTCAACTTCTTCCATATAGATAACATTGTTAAGTAATATTCTGACAAATAACCTCAAATATATTGTCGGCGCTATTTTTTGTTAAGGAGTTGCCCGTAAGAAGCTGTTGGTCACTTGAATCGAAATCCCGTCGCCCGCTTCGGAATGACGTTTTAATTTACATATATATTTAGATTTAGAAAAATATGAAATCAAACTAACCCCAAATATTTCATAGTTTAAATGAAAGAGCGTTGTACCTCAAATCCTGTATCTATCCCGAAGGAAAAACACAAGACTGGAGGATGAGGCTCGATCAAATAAACTAAAGAATATATGACATCCGTTTGGTCTGTGAAACATTTGTATTTGCCGACAAGTTTCCTGACAACGACTTTTTATATGCTTAAAATTACAAGAATTTGATACTGCTACTAGAAGGTTTAATTCCCCGGCAACGGCGCCAAAAACTTGACAGCGGTTATAGATTCGATAAAGATGTATACAAAATATTCAAAAATTGCAAAGTCACACTTATCAACGCAAGTATACGTATTACTCAAGTAATACAGGGCTCTAATGGAATCCTAGATATCGATCCCACAGGGAGTAATATTAGAGGCTACAAACTAAGATTTTAGAAGATCAATATTTAATCATAATAATATAGTTCAAATTGTTTATCTGTCACTAATAGGCAATTGAAATAAATATGTAATTGTAATAACTCTTAAATAACTAATTCTACTAATAAAGTTTCTAATGTGAAGTTTAATATATAAGAAAGCATCCTTCTCCTTGTCAAGAAATTAAAGTGAATGGAT